GACAAACGAACTGCACCGTTTTCCAGGTCATGAAATATTGTCGTAAGGTAAATGACGATGAGACCGGATGGTGGAAATTTACTTTCCCTCGAGGCTTTCTTGACTGCGGTGCGGATTGGCATACGGAGTCGATAAACAGTTCGTTACTGAATGGACAGGCAAAGAATGTTTTTATCAAAAGAGATTAGCGAGGTCTTTGTCTCTCCTCTTTCCTCATTCGAACTGCGTTGAGAAAATAATTATTCAGTATGAATGGATTTTCGGAAATAGTTGTGTAGCGGCTTTTCCCACGACTAAATCAAATCCTAAAAGTCCTTAGTTGCGCCAACACCATAGCCGTAAAGCGGGCTTATACCCGTTACCCTCACGAACATTCCATATTTTGCCCCTCCCAATGTTAAGGAGTTAACTAGCCTTCATGAAATTTAATCTCCAATTGCGAAATGATCAAATTTGCATATTATGTAAGCAGATGCTTCTTTATGTTGCGTTTGTATGGGAGGCCTAACTAGTTGTTAATGCTATTATCCCATTTTCGTCGTTGATTCTTGTTGTTTACTAGTATCTTCAGTATTTCCTCCCTATACTTCTTTCCGTCCGGCCATGACTACAAATTTCACTACAGGAGCTTAGCACAATCGTTTTGACAGGGTCTCGATAATATACGTACTGCGTTGCTGTTGCAGTGCAAACGCATATTGTTGAAACCTTTTCCTCTTTATATGTGTATATGTATGTATGTTGTTTATATGTTTATATATACATATATACATACATATATGGTATGTATGTGTGCATGTTGTTTATATATGTATATATGTACATACATACTTTATATATGTATATTGTTTATAAAAAGAGTTTAAACTTTACATGGACAGGACACTTCTTTAATATCTCAGCTCAGGTATATGTATATATATATATATATATATATATGTGTTTATTAACTTACTTGTGTTCGGATTTTAGTCTTGGGCTTTACAGTTCAGCAGTCAGAAAAAACAGAAAGATGAAATATCAAAGAGGTGTCCTGTCTGTGTAAACTTTAAACTCTTTTTCACCTCTCCTCCCACCCTCCCCTCCTCTCCAAATTTGAGCTTTCACTTACGACTACTCTCACTGCGAGCGCGTGAAAGTTATAATAGGGAACTTCCTAACTTGGGAACTGAACAAAACTGAAAGCTGGGATTTTTTGATGTGTGTGATTCTAGAAACTGAAACTTGTACTCCAGGTATGCCTGGGTTCACTTACGGAGATTTGAAGTTCTGATACCGTCGTAAGCTCTATTCCAGTTTTTTTCTTCAGCACTTATGTTATCACTTGTGTCAGCACTGCAATAGAAAATAAAATCCAGCTTGGAAAACATCGGGCGGGCCCGTGCGATTATTTGCGTTACGATCACCGTGGACAATGCGACTCTTTTATGTCGGTACCACTGTACCGACATAAAAGTAAGCAGTCATTCGGACGACTCCCGAAGTACATTGAACAGGTGGTAGATACTAACTGAAGGTATGCAGCTCAAGGTTAAAGAGTCTGGCACAGTTGCGCTCGGCGTAGGTGAGTTCCTAGTAATATCACTAACAGGGGGTACCCACACTGATAGCTCGAGCGGCCTTAGTATTCTTGGTGTATAACTCTGGCGTGTGTGGAGCAGTGGCATGAACTGCAGACCGACTGCAAATCCCACTCGCGGAGTTAAACGAGTATGGTACCAGTCTGTTTACAGTTTGTTCCTCAGTGTTGTATAAACTGGTGCTGGCGAACGTTATTGGGCCGAAATCACCATCAGTTTGATTGTAACCAACAGACCCTGAAAAGGTAATTGTCAATTTCCCTACCAGCAATTGGTTACTGTTGCATATGCTACCGCTCGGGCTACTTGATGTCATAGAGAGTGTTTCAGTTGGGGGCTTTTAACTTTAATGCATGACAGTAATAGTAGTGCAAAAGAATAATAGTTATAATGAGTGTTTGCCGTATTTTGCAGAGGTGTTAGTACAGAGCACTAGAATTTCCCAACTAGATCAACTTTTGGGTACTGTAGAATTTGATGCTAATTTATCATAGTTCTTATATAGGCAAGAACGCCAGACGGCACGACTAATTTAACACAGTGAAGTATTTTCTGCAGCTTGAGACGTTTCTTCTATTTTTTCAATAGCCTTTCAAAATTGGTGCTTGAAACTTCCAAGGGAGCTCAGCGGGTTAATATGTAACTCACTTATTAGACACATTTCCAGCTGAGCCTGAGTTTGCTTCACCTGGTTCCTTCACTACATGTCGCAACTTCGTTCTTGCTGAGCTTATATTTTAGTTTTTTATCCACCTTGTTCAAAAAGCGTTTCTTTCATAGCCATTGAAGGCATTTAAACATTAAGGGCTTGCCCACTGTTCATATACAGTTTGCTAAATGCGCAGATTTGTAAGCGTTTCTCGCAGAGTATGTTTTTTGAAGGTGAAGTGGACGAATCACTTTTCCTTCCTACGTGTAAATGGAGCACCAGAACTGCTCCACCACTTTCTTGGAGTGTGTTCGTTGACAACAGCACAATCAATTCTTACAGTAGCCTTCGAACCTATTAGCGTGAAATTTATCAATTAAAGTAATTGAGGGCAGCGTTGAAAAACACCAAGGTAGATTTCTTGCCACTTAAACTAATGAGGGGAAAGGAAAGGCCCTGCAGCTAGAAGGAGTTGCCAGTGAGTGCCATCAAATTAGCTAACACTACACTTCATACAGCTTCACTCATCCCACTTGCACTGAGTCAAATAACTAAGGGCACTGGAGAAACTACAAATTCTCTTGACCTTTTGATCAAACTCATACGATCTTATTGCTCGAATTTACGTAAGACTTTGGTAGCCTTTTGACTCAAGTGCCTATATGTCTTTTTTGCTAAAAACATGGCTAGCGAATATTATTTTCTCCCCTTTCAGGAAGCTGCATTTGCATCCACAAAAATTTGTCCTTATTTAAATTTATCACTGCCATGACTACCAAAATCGCTAGAGAGAGGATGTTAAATTACCAAAACCAGTATTAGTGCTTGAGCCCACGCGCAGCAACGCCAGGCTATTCATCCCTGATCTAAATTTTTACGCATTTTTGCATACATGCAAATGCAAAAACTTATATTGTGTCTGTCCTGTATTTCAGTTCGGCGACCAAGCATGCTCCAGCACTAAAATTTTGCCAGTGGGCTCCACGATCAAATTCTATCCATTACCACAGCACCAACCTTCGCGTACGGACGCTTGAAAGTTTTGACGGGGAAATTGCTAACTCGGGAATCAGAAAAACTGAAGAGCTGAAATCTTAGGAAAACGTTCCCCTTCAAGTGCAACTCGAAGCTTTCAAATTCGGCCTCCAGGTATGCGTGGTTCTCACGTACTGGCACGTAAAAGTTTTGTCGGGAAAATTGCTCACTGAAAAGCTAAGTCATTTTCAAGCTTGAATCTTCACTTTCCGCCATCAAACGTAAATTATTCGTTTTCCTTTATATAAAATTTACGATGACGTTAGTATGCGCATATGGCAAGTGTAATATAGTGACCATTCGTATAGTTAGCGATCTGTTTGCTTCAAATTTAGTGCAAAAACAAATAATCACATGGGCAAGCCTGGTACGTTCCACCCTAGAGTTCCATTTAATACCAACTTCCTGTATACGGACTGCAGGTTCTTTGAAAGTCGTTATTTTTCACGATGATTTTCACTCTTATTCGCATCTATTTCTCTTTCTCTCTCGTATGTTCAAATCTAGGTGGTAAAACACAGATGATCGTTTACCTACATGTATAATTACAATATGCCGTAAACTCCGTCGTTGCTGACTTTACATTTCTTAATATTGTGACTCCTGCCTATTAGCATATAGTACCACTCAAATTTTAATTTTATGGTCGCAAAACGTTCTACTTTCCAATTTTCTTGAGTGTACGTGGTCACAAAGAGATGTTTTATGCATTCTTCGCTCCGCTACTGTCTTCAGTACAGTCATGCTGTAATGAAGATGTTTCACATACGTACGTCAGTGCTTTCCCTATGGCCTTTTGCGTCTCGCTAAGTCGTGAAGGCACATATGCATACGTGCAAACGTGTGCGGATGTGTTTGTTTCCAGATTATCCAGGTATGGAACTGCAAAGGCTTGGAAACTGAAATCATGTTTTATATTTATGATGTCTTCACTCCCAGTTCTACCTCATATGCAAGATCACAGCAACTTTGCAAATTGCGAACAAATAGTGAAAATACAATTTGGAGAAGGTTCAAATTATCGCGCATGCGAAATAAATTTAGTTCTCAAGCATTGCTGGGTCTCGCCGATGAATTCAGACTTGTCGAGTTTGATTGCAAGACCATCTTATGGAACACCATAGTCTGATTTCGTTGTATGATAAAGAGACTGGAAACCCCCACTTGCAATCTCAGCTTGAACTTCAGGCTGATATAGCTATTTCATATGCTTTTAAAATGGAAACTGTAATGATCTAAACCGTCAACTTAATCACGAGATCAGTAGAGTAAAGCTGCCTTGTTCTATTATTTGTAACTTCTCTCTGTCATTAACAGCTAGTTGCATGCAGAAGTGGTTGCGCTGGTTCTCTAATGCACTGCGCTTTTTTTTTTTTCAGAAGAGCGTTCCTGAAGCTGCTGAGAGAAATTGAGATTTTCCTTTTTTCGCTAATGCTGTCTTTAAAGTTTCGGCTTAATGCGCACTGTATTGTAAATTGCTGAAATGAAATAATTTTTTTTGTATAACCAGTGTGCCGACAGTTCAGATTAGCGGCAGTAGAGGACGGCTTTATTACATTGACCTGGGTCAAACGTGCGAGTACTCAACGACACGATGCTATGACAGCTCGAGATTTTCGAATCGTATATTTCATCAGAATCTTTAGTAAGCTCGGTAAATCACACACCGCAATCACTCCTGTTGCTATGCGATGCTCATTTGTTTGTACTCTCTACTGACGACAGCAGTATTCGAAATGTTATGTGGAAACGGCGTCGTTACTGCGGCAGCAATACTTCAGGATCATTTACCCCTTCAAGATCATACAGTACCGCTTCTGGTTCCGGACACCAAACACAGCAGCAACCTTGGTTTCTTTGAGCCACAAAATCTACCGCTGTTCCAGGATCATCCTGTCACTGATGTTGCTAGTGATAGCGATATCCATAGCCGGCTCCATATTAGTGGTAAATGTTTTTTTGTGTTGGAATGAGGAAGAATCTCTTGACAGTGATGCCTTAATCCAGCAAAATCTTCAACTTACCCAATGAAGAAAGATGGGAGTTTAAGCAGAAGTAAGAACAAGTAAACCTAACAATTCGAAGAAGTTTCCAGAAAAATATATTTCTCAGATTCTAACTCTAAAGTAAGCACAAGGAAAACTGCGGTATGAATAACTCGATGCGAGAAAAATTCCGAGTTGCCGCTGTTTTTTAGTCACACTCTTGCCCTGCTGTGGTTCAATAAAGTCGTTTTGTTAAGTATTAGGTACAGATATTGATACAAGGCGGTATGCGTGTTCATGTTACCTCATTAACTTCCAAACGTTTGGCTGAGTGAGACAGTTTACTCAAAGAGTCTTTTGATATCAGAAATCTTTGACGATGCGCTGTGTAGGAAATCGTTTCATCTGTTTTTCCATTTAATTAATTCACTGATTAATTCGCATTCATATACTGGTCCATCTGATTGCGCCAGGATCACTAAATGCCTTCAATTTGTTTTTCGTCCTTAAGCGAGGAAGCTGTCACAATTCTACGCAATGTAATTGCTCTTAAAATGGAATACGTAAAATAGAATCGAACTTCAAAAGATGTGAAGTAAAATTTTTTCTCGTGCCGGCTGTGCGCCACTTGTGGATCCATCAGTGAGCTGGCATTTTGCACAGGCTACTCACTGTTTTCTTCAGTGACTGAATCAGGCAACATAAATGAAGCACACACTGCTACGTAGCTCTACGAAATCTTTCAAAAAATGAAACTCGCAATTTACTGTGCTAAGCCGGGCCTGCACTGCGAAGTTAATGCAGAATTTTCGTCAAAGGGTCACCGTCATTGAGAGGGTGCAAAGAATTTGTTCATTCCTAAACTAAATCATTGGCGACGCGCACGGGGGGGCCCCGTGCGATCATGTGTTTTTGCAGTGTTTCCTGCTGTAATAAGATTACTCGAAGTTCCGCTAGCTAGAAACCTCTTGTAC